TGACTTATGTATAATGTCACACAAACTAGAAGATATACAGGTGAAAACTAACAAGTTGACAGAAGAGGCAGGGCAGAGAAGGAAGACTGGACTTCAAGTGAACGTAGAGAAGACAGAGGTGATGAAGATACCCAACCAACTCCCACCAACACCACCACCACCACCAACAACAACAACAACGACAACACGCTCCAATCACCATCAACGACAGAAACTTAAAGAAGTAGCCTCCTTCACCTATTCAGACAGCACTGTGTCAAGCACAGGTAGCACAGGCACAGACGAAGACGTCAAAGATAGCCAGGATCGGAAAAGCAAGACGAGTGTTCACTAACCTGAAACCAGTGTGGAGATCTTCTCCACTCAGCCTAAAGCGTGAACAACATCCGGATTTTCAACACCAATGTCAGTCAAGTCAGTGCTTCTATGTGGTGGTTGAGAGACTTGGCGAGCCACGAAAGGCATTTCCAACAGACTACAGACATTCATCAACAACTGCCTACACTGCCTCGACACTGAAGATCAGGTGGCGAGAACAATAAGAACAAGCAACAAGGAAGTAACTCTGGTCACAAACCAACCAACGAAGAACCTATCACCCAACAAATATGTGGTGGAAGGAAGTGGGGCTGTATTGGGTATGCAGTGAGAAGACGATTCGGGGACATCACGCATCAGTCCAGGCCCTGGAGTGGAACCCCTATGGGAAGCGATGAGTTGGGCATCTGTGGTGAGGGTGACATGGAGGAGATTATGTGAGGAAGAAATGAGAGCTTGTGTGCAGTTTTGGTGTCAGGTTGAAAGGTTTGCAGAGAACAGAGTGGAATGGAGATGTGCTACTGAAGCCGTATGTTCCATTATGAACCCAAAGTAACAAATAATAAATATATCGAAAGTAAAAATACCAATGCTGTGTAAGGTGGTGGTTAGCCCTGTAGACTTCTAATTGAGCAACCTTAGTCCACGTCATGGCAAGACCTGATCCAGTGTTACCTTTAGGGATTCACTATCCATTTGTACCACTTCATATCATCTAGTCGACGACAAAGAGATACCATGTACTTAGTTATTGCTTAGTGAATATCAGTACACAGCTTGTTGTGTTGGTTTATTAACAACATACATCAGTTATAACAAAATATGTTCTGAGATAAAAACCTGAATGATCTAACTTCTGAATGTAATTACTCAACAGAATTTATTACACTATTATAAGATAACCTTTTATGACTTTTATTCTAAACAAAAATAAAAAAGGAATACACATAACTGATCTTATCTTTCAATATGGATATGTAAATAAGCAAAACTATTTATATAATCGTCTACAAATAATGAAATCTTTTTTATCCGGTTATTTCTTTCATTTTGTATAAAATATGTAGACTTCATTCACATTTCTGTCTTGTATGAATGAAATCGAAGCAAAATTAACCAGACAAAATGGTGATAAAATATATTCAGTAAATCAGCAATATTTCCAAAGTTAGTAATAAATAATTAAAATTTACAGATATGAAGTTAAATTTTGAGGGGGTTGTGGAGATTTAGAAATATTTCAAGTTGTTATTCATCGAAGACTGAGATCAGTTGGAGGAACAAAGGAAACCTGGGAGCACTGGACAGCTGTTTCGTCGCGGGTTCGATCCCTGCTGGTGGAGTCGTGGGTGCGCACTGCTCAGGAGTCCCATACTAGGACGAAACAGCTGTCCAGTGCTCACAGGTTTTCTTTGTTCCTCTAACTGATGTCAGTCTTCGATGAATAACAACTTGAAATATTTCCAAATCTCCACAACCCCCTCAAAATTTAATTGAACTAGTGCTCGTTGGTGACTAGCTTCGAGAAGTATTCCCGCAGTTACAATGACAAGTCGTGACCGGTGGAGTCAAAGCCTGATGGCCGTGAGGACAAATACTCAACGATGACATTGGGTGGCGGTTTGCGCTATATCGTGAGCTAACAGAAGTTGGAAATATGGAGCATTGGATTCTGACCCAGTCGCTCAATGGTAACGTGCTGGTCGCGGAACCTGAAGGTCGCGGGTTCCATCCCTGCTGGTGGAGTCGTGGGTGCGCACTGCTCAGGAGTCCCATACTAGTTGGACGAAACAGCTGTCCAGTGCTCCCAGGTTTCCTTTGTTCCTCCAACTGATGTCAGTCTTCGATGAATAACAACTTGAGATATGAAGTTATATTAGAATTTAAACTCTTATTATAATCTACACTTCTATAAGCTAATCACATCAACACTTTCAACAGTATACCCTAAAATCAAATTATTTCAATGAATTAACACTTATATGATGTTATTTGTATTATCCTGTCTTAGATGGAACTGAATTTTTTTTCATCGTGTGCTAATGGCTTGATATTATGTATCGTTTCACTTTTCTTGTTAATGATAGATGGCGATTAACAGTGAAATCCAGGAAACACGTTTTATCCCAATGTAAAACTCATCAATTGAGATGTACGAACTTTCTAGTGAACAATGTTGTTCCCATTAACACTTGAAGTTTGGGAGAATAGTATTGTTCTCAATTACATCCTTCTTAGTATTGGTAATGATATTAATGTCAATTGTCATAGCGACAGTGCTGCCTAAAACAGTTATAATATACAGAATGATGATATGAACTAAGAAAACATCGTACAAATGTAGATAATTCGATCATCAAACCAGGTGGAGAGTTCGGGCCAAGATAAAGATAAACTGTGCACAGATAGTCTAGGATTTTGAAGTTGAGTTCATACAGTTGCCACTATGTGTAAATGACCAGTATGAATAGTATTCAAAATGGTCTGATGGTGTACGAATGGTTATCTTGCAAACGTTAAGCTTATCTGCCATGATAGGACTATTAACTAAATGCTAAAAGACTGATCTTCTTACGGATTTTATCAATCCCCTTAGAAATACATCCAGTAAGTTGCCTGGCCGTATGCCCTGTATAGTTTTAAACCACATTGTTTTGGCTACTTAACATTGTATTTAGTGAACAAATGATCACATTAATTTATTTATCTGCTTGTTTTATTGTTGGTACTAATTTTGCTAGTGATGGTGTGATTGTTAATTGTTGCTCTCCATGAATTTGTTCAACATAAACTTTTTGATAGAGAAGTACACACAGACTTCTCAAACGCCAAAGCATTATCCACTATCCCCATTGTTGAAAATCATATAATTTAATACAATTGGTTCCATTCAAAAGTTTTATCAAAACTAGAACATCACGTTTAACAGAATATGATGAATTTAATGTATTTCGTTGCCTTCTCTTCAAATACATACAGGCTATATGTAGACAGAGAGAAATAAAATTCACATAATTCACTTATCAAGAAGAGAATAGTCCATTGATGACCCAATGAATGAACTGATACACATTAGAGAGGTTTGAATGAAATAATTTGTGATTACTAAGACTGAAGTTATCTTGTACTTATATAGTCAGACTGTCATCTTCATACATGTGAACAACCAAAATAGAAAAGAAAGTATTACGTAAGTGTATGAGATGAGTTAATAGTGTAAATATAGGGTGAACATTTTTTTTCAAGTTGTTATTCATCATGAACTGACATCAGTTGGGGAGAACTTTGGGAACCTAGGAGAACTGGACCCATGATCCGCCAGGAATCGAACCCAGGGCTTTCATGTTTCGTTACCAATCAGGCACCTAGTCGGAATCCATTGGTTTACATTCCCAACTTCTATCAGTTCACAACATATCACTACCATCACCCAACCTCATTGTTGAGTATTTGTTCTCACGTTCACTTAAAATTTCAGTGAAAAGTCGTGACCGGCAATGCAAACAGGGTGGATGTGAATTTGGTTTTATAAAAGGGGATGAAAATCGAGAATTTTGGAAAGGATTTTACTTAGTAACAAAGCAAATCAATGGCTACTACGAAAGTTGGAAGTTAACAACTGCCTCTTTTGGAATGTATAGGTTCGGTTTAATTCTTCTGATGGCAATTGCTTCTGCAAATCTTAGTAGCTTAGTATTGCTTTGTTTGTTAATTATTTTAAATGCTTTGGAGATTTGAATGTCATGTCTAGTGCCCACTGGATGCTTAGTAATAGATAACTTTAATTTTAGTAATCATAAATTATTTCATTCAAACTCTTTCTCTCTCTCTCTCTCTCTCTCTCTCTATATATATATATATATATATATATATATATATATATAATGAACTTAAGACCTGTGTTCAGTCGAAGACAAGGAGATGAATTCACCATATTCTGCTAAACTTGGTGTTCTAACATCATATAAACCATATCCGTACCACAAAAGTGGCTATCATGAATCAGTGGCCTAGTGGATAATGCTTCGGTGTTTGAGGAGGTTGGCTCCGGGTTCCAATTTTATTGAGAGTGACGTCGCTCACTAGAAGGTAGGTACATCCAGCTGACGAGTCCTATATGCGATGAAACGTGCCTCCTAGATTTCAATGGTAGCCATTATCCATCATTATAAAGAAAAACGATGTTAATTTTATGCGAACATCTTAAATTTACAGCTTATAATCACAATATGGAATATGTCTTGTTAAACAGTCTGAAACAGGCTACAAACCACATCCCGGATAATATTGCCGACCACTTCGATTATCACAGTATAAAAGGTTCTGTATGACGACATATTTAAGAAGAAATGAAATGTATTCAGCAATCATGTGCACTTTCATACAGTAGGCAATGAACAACACCTATTGTGTGAGGTTTAATGATACTAACTACCTAGCTGTCCACGTCTCGGTAGTTGGAGAGGTGTTCAAAGTCGTAAGCAGCCCATTGATCAAAGGTTAGCCACCTAAGCCTTTCAGCCATAGCTCCAATTTGTTCGATATGTTTGGCATTAGTCTACTTTCATGATAGTAATTATTTTATCCATTTATAAGAATCAATCAGCACTTAAAATAAATAATAATCTAAAACGAAAGTTACATTACACATAGTGTAAGAATGCAAAGAGATAGAAACTTACAAAGGGCTGACAGAGTACTAATGAATGTCATTAGTATGCTTAAATTAATATCACCACCAAGCAAAAGACACCAAGCATTACTAACACCACCACCCGGAGAACAACCGATAGTAAGTAAACCGAAACCAAACTCTGGTTTAATAGGAATTGTCTTCGCAATACAGAAAGCAATCTGAAATGGAATTGAAACAAATTTGAAAAAAACGTATTTTAGGTTAAAGGATAGTATGGATTATGACATACTTGGAAGTGATTCTAATGGCGAAAAACATTTCGAGTGGAAAATCATCATGAATGATTGAACCAGGTAGATAAATCACGTTTAGGTATCTAAAAATCAGCTGACTGATCTTTGATAAATCAGAGTATACGAAATAATCCCGCTTTGGTGACAATTACAATTGTGTAAGGTTTCAGTCTCTTTAAATAAGTCCCACTCTAACCTTCTACCTGCCGATAGCTACTACCTTGACATAGTGGTCAGGCTTGTACATCAATGACTCAACGAGCTACACTAGGTGAGAAAGCTCTGTCTGATAGTGGTAGGATGAAAAGCAGATAGTGTTAACTATGATGTGGGGTCTGAAGGCCAAGTCGTACTTCTGCCAGCTGGATGAGGTGTGACAGAAGTAAGGTGTTTTCGTTGAATAACCAGCAGTGCCACGCTCGTGCTACCTTTCTTACGGGAAGAAATGAGGGGATTAGAAAAGGTCGACCCCAAAAATGGCACACTCATCCCTGCCTCAGGGTCCTTCGGGAATGGGGGTATGGATTTTCGCTTTCCAGCGTTAGAAGAACCAAATTTCAGAAGAACAATCCATAAAAGACCGAGCATTAAGCAAACATCCCATGGGGTTTGTGGCCACAGAAATCTAATTCTCTGTAAGGTACGCTAGGAAGAAATAACCTTTCACAGTTTGAGTGGTGAGGAAGTGTCAACCGCCCTCACAACTCTATCAACACAAGCTCCTTCAAGTCACGATCAACTGTTGCGTGATGTCCCCGAATCGTCTTCTCACTGCATACCCAATACAGCCCCACTTCCTTCCACCACATATTTGTTGGGTGATAGGTTCTTCATCAGTTGGTTTGTGACCAGAGTTACTTCCTTGTTGCTCATTCTTATTGTTCTCGCCACCTGATCTTCAGTGTCGAGGCAGTGTAGGCAGTTGTTGATGAATGTCTGTAGTCTGTTGGAAATGTCTTTCGTGACGTGCCAAGTCTCTCAACCACCACATAGAAGCACTGACTTGACTGACATTGGTGTTGAAAATCCGGACCTCGTTCACCCTTTATACTGAATGCAGTCCAGTAGATCCTCACATTGGTTTCAGGTTAGTGAACACTCGTCTTGCTTTTCCGATCCTGGCTATCTTTGACGTCTTCGTCTGTGCCTGTGCCACTTGTACTTGACACAGTGCTGTCTAAATAGGTGAAGGAGGCTACTTCCTTTAAGTTTCTGTCGTTGATGGTGATTGGAGCGTGTTGTCGTTGTTGTTGTTGTTGTTGGTGGTGGTGGTGTTGGTGGGAGTTGGTTGGGTATCTTCATCACCTCTGTCTTCTCTACGTTCACTTGAAGTCCAGTCTTCCTTCTCTGCCCTGCCTCTTCTGTCAACTTGTTAGTTTTCACCTGTATATCTTCTAGTTTGTGTGACATTATACATAAGTCATCGGTGGCGAAATCCAAATCTTCTTCCAGGGTCTTTACATCGGTCCAGTGTATCCTCCTCTTCTCGCTTCTCACTGTTTATTGCATGATTCAGTCCACTACAATCAGGAATACCTGACCTTTTTATGAGTAAGTTTGAAGAAAGTGTCTTCAGTGACTTACTAAAGACAAAAATTTGGCTGAGATATGTTGATATCACATTTATAGTTTTAAAACGCGACTTATACGAAGCACTGTTAGATTAGCTGAACTCTAGATTTCCCAGTATCGAATTCAGCTCAGAAAAAGAAAAGGATAAAGGGAAACTGACTTTGCTTGATTGTCTTATTAAGCGAAAAGAAAACGAACACTTAGATATAACCATTTTTAGGAAAGCAAGGCATTCTAACAAATATTTAGATTTCAACTCATCACATCTAATTAGTGCGAAAGTTTCTGTCACCTGCAGTCCCTTAAGGAGAGCAAACACTCTAGTAACGGATGGAAATGTAAGAGTTAAGGAATTAGAATGCATAAACAAGGTATTTAAATGAATAATTATCCGATAAAATTCATTGGTAAAACAGAAAATAACATTAAATTAGATCATAGAACTACTCCTAAATCACAGGCCTCAGGAATAGTTATCCCGTAAAGATCACACACAACGGATGAAATTAAGAGACTGCTCAACAAATACAATATCAGAGTGTTCTGCAGAACATCAAACACATTGCGGAGCACCTTAGTTCATTTGAAGGACGAGATGCCTCTAGATTCATAATCTAATTGTATCTGTAAAACAAAATGCTCAGACTGCGATGTAATATATATAGGACAAACTTCCCGTGAAATCAAAATTAGAAAAAGTGAACACCAAACGGCTTCTACCGGACCCCCTAGAGTACCAGTGGAACTGAAAAAACTTTAAATTTAAAAAACAGACCAGCCATAGCTCAACTCACCATAATTTCATGTTGCAAGATCGATTTTGACAATATCAAAATTATTCAGAAAGGCTTTAGAAATTATAAAGAACGTCTCATAGGAGAATCTCTTCACATTAAATGGAATCAGGAATGAAGAAGTAAAACGTAGTTTAACCTAGTCTCTACCCAGTCACTCCACAAATACTGACATAATCAGTATACATCAAGGCGATAAGAATTATCAACATATGTGTGTACATACAAATCTCAGTCTGCAATTTACACACAACACACACTCCATATGGAAATCATCTTTATTCTACAATTCTGACAACGCAGAATCATTCATACAGAAGAACACTTATCTAGTTATCATATATAAGCTTGGTTGTTGTAAATTCCGGTTTACTATAACTTTCACAAAGCTATTAGCACTAATTGGATGTTCTCTGAGCTTTGAACTTTTGTTGTGGATGTTGCACCACTAGGCTTGGTGACAAGCATCCACAGCAACAACTTCATTAAGAGGTGAAGCATATTCGAATGTTACACGAATATTCAGGTAGCATTTTTGTTGACCCTGAGTGTGTTGTCGAATTATAAGGTAGGGAAGAGATTTTTGTCACACTTTGACCTCTTTGACCTTAAATTTCCTTCAGTCAGACTGGTAGAGAATCTTTGTTACAACAAGACTGAGCTATTTGTTATTGTCACAGTGTGCTTCATTGTTGGTTTGTTTGGTCAATTTGCCCTTGGTTGATGGAAGGCTGTACTTGTTCTATATGCACATGTCTTATGTTCAGTACTTCATTAGAATGCCATACTGCTGAAAATTCGCTAACAGGGTTTGAATCGGCTGTTCAGACGATTTTCTTATGCTCCAAATCAAATTCGTGACCACGATTGTTTGTGTGCATTGAAACTGAGAACACAATACAACAGAAACACTGATTTACAAATCTGTATAATTATTCTTTTCACTAATTTCTCTCTTAATTATTTATCACCTATTAATGCCTTAAAGTCAACAGTCACTTATTAGCTTATTTGAAATGAATCAAACTCCAATGGTTAGATGGTTTACATATCACTTTAACCTCTATAACAAGCAAAACATTAGTCAAGATATTATAGGTTGTAATTTCCTGTCACTGACTGAACCGAACTGATCGGCCACTATTGTCATATAGGCTCCTGTGCGGATGTCTTAGTGTCCCCGGCATTTCTATTTCAACGTAGTGGACCAGTGGATAACATTCCAACGTTTGAAGCGAAGGGGCCTTGGTTCGACTCCTAGTGGAGGCAACATCACTCACTGGGAGGCAGGTTAATCTGACTGATGAGCCCCATATGAGAGGAAACATGCATCCTAGATTCCACTGTTGGCCATTATACATCCTTAATATCAAACAAAGACAAAATTTAAGTTCGATTTTATAAATATGACCATAAAAATGATACTATAAAACAACAGTTTGGCAAATACTTCCTTGAAACAATCCAGTAAAATAGAACACTTCCCACCGCCATTGCTGCTTATTGGTCGATCAGTGTAGGTACAGTTATTCGTAAAACTGGAGTAGAAGGGTTCACACAATAATTCCTCAGTACATGAGTATTTCATCCTTCTTTCTGCTTCAAAAGCATCTGATTCGTTTGTATTCCTTATTCTCTAAACTGGGGATTGATTCACACCAGCTTAGGAGTACAATAAAGTTTTTAACTTGAGGAACGAAAAGATAACAAGAGTAAACTCGCTACATAACCTTGTATACACTCATGTTGGTAGGCAATGAGCCACACTTATTGTTTGAGGCCTAGTGATACTTATCTCGAAGCCCATACCTCAAGTAGGTGGGGCTGTGTTAGAACCTGTGACCCAATACTAGTTGTTAGTAGACTGCCTAGACCAATAAGCTAGAGTTCCAAAGAAAGGAATAACTTTTTATCGTTTTCTTGCTGTGTATTCTAAAAAAAATTAAAGGTATACAGCACGATTCAGAGAGATAAGTAGAAACACGTTAGGTATAATCGAAAAAATTATTCTCATCAGATGACATACAACATCATTGTAGTTTTTTGGAATGGAATAGGCATGTGACCAACTGACGGTGAAAAGCATTATGCAAACTAACTCAGAGAAGCTGATATCTGTCATAATGTGAAATAAGATTGCCAAAATCGTCATAAGTACCCATAAACCGCTAAAGCTTTTTTCAACTAATCGCTTTGCTTCGAAATTTTGGTGACTAGCATCAAGAGGTCATTCCTGAAGTGCCAGTGAGAAGTCGTGACCAATTGGCCAAACCTGGTGAACGTGAGGACAAATGCTCAACGATGACATATTGGGTGGCGGTCACGCTGTTGTTAACTGACAGAAGTTGGACATGTGGACCACTGAACTCCGATCCAGTGGCGCGATGGTAAGGTGCGGGCCACGGAACCTGAAGGTCGTGGGTTCGATCCCTGAAGGAGTCGTGGGTGCGCACTGTTGAGGAGTCTCAGACTAGGGCGAAACAGCTGTCCAGTGCTCCCAGGTTTCCAATGTTCCTCCAACTGGTGTCAGTCCACGATGAATATCAACCTGAAAAAAAA